CCAGTATATAGTTGTTACCTCTCTAAATTGGAGATCAAAGTTCAGATCCAATTCAAATCCAGTTTATCACTTACTTTTTATTGCCAGAATGTTTGCCGTGTATTGTAAAGTTACGTTGCACAATATAAAAAATTAGTGTATCATTTCAAATTTCCGCCATGCTAATTATTAGTCATATGGGATCATTATTTATTTGAAAATGATTGTTCAATTGATGATATATATGGATTCACCAATAAATGTAAAATTTCAATTTATGTGAAAAAAAAAAAAATTTATCATATGATAATTAATTTGTACATTTTTTTTTTAGTGATAATATATAATAATAATAGTAATAGTAAATTTGCCAGCACAAACATCCGCCTTTTTTTTTTTAATTCCATGCTTCCCAAAAAATTATGTTTATAAAAAACATTGTTTTAAGCTGCTTAATATTAAATATTAATACTAAATATTAATTAATTAATTAAGTACTTCTCGCTTTCAATTTTGTAAATTGTAAAACAGTAAAATCCTTTTTTGTAAACTAAATTCCATTTATTTATCATTATATAGTTTCGTTTTTTTCTTACGTTAATAAATTACGTAAATAAAATTACATAATATGAATTATAATAACGCGCAAAAAAGTGAAATAATATAAATATTGGATTAGATAATGAGTGACTTTTGTCTTTAATTTCATCACAAACAAAATTTGTGCTACATTTTAATTGTGCGAATTCAATTGACAAAAGATGATATCCTGTAAAATAAAAATAACCCATAACTAAAATTAAAAAGTTTCGAAGATTATTTGAACTATTTTGATATGTTGTATAGGCCCAAATTAATATAACATAACAAGCTGCATATTGTATAAATGTTAAGGAATGTAGTAATAAATATATTTTTGCAGGTTTCCAACGAAAATTTATTAAAGCCTCTATTGCTGGATTATCAAAGATTAAACCTTTTCTATCCAATCCAATCATTTGAATAAATGAACTAAGTTTTTCTTCATCATCAATATACCTATGAGGAAGTATAAGGCGTCTAAGACAAGTTATAACAACATTTTTTTGAACATTTTTCTTTTCAATCTTATTAACTGTGAAATTTGGAAGTGGTACTACACACAGGTTGGGTGATGCTCTATTTTGATTTCCAAAAGCATTTTTTTTAAAGCAAGGGATTTTCTCTACACTACTTTGCAAGAGGTTGCTTTCAGTATCTTCTTTAAGTTTAGAATTTATTCCTATGCTATTACTAGCCAATTCTTTATCTAAAGAAAGTTTAAAATTTATTCCTATGTTATTACCAGCAAAACATTCTTTGTAAAATAAATCATACACATAGTCTTCTAAATGAGATTGGAAAAGTAAAGGTAAAGTTGTTGAAACAGTGATCATCCATCCAATATGTTCAATAGCATTGTTGGAATAATATTCTAATAAATAGCCTACAATTAATTTGTCTTTTTTTTTAGAATAATTGATTGCTAATACTAATGCATTATTTTGAATATTTTCATTTTCATTTTCATTTTCATTTCCATTTCCATTTTCATTTTTATTTTTATTTTTTTGCCATTGTTTAGCTCTTGGTAAATGTAAATGCAAGCGATTAGAAGTATTATAGGGTGTTTTTTTGGTTGTATTTTGAATAATACTATTGTCTCCAATTTGATCTTTACCAAATAAAATATACTTTATAAGAGAATTAACTCCACCATTGATAAGGTTTGACATAATCTCATAACGAGTATCCATAAGTCTCCATATTTCAGGTTTGTCTCTAATGAATTTCAAAATAATTTTTACAATATATTCATACATTTCTTCAAATCTATGTTGTTTTTTATAGCTTACTAATAAATCTTCTTTAAAATTAAGATACTCAAGAGCCTTACAAGCATGTTTTATAGGTGTTACATATTGATCTGGATAAGGCCATTGGATTTTTTTGCTGATCTCATCATCACCCCAAGTAACTTCCAGTTCAAATTTTCTACAACCAACTCTCAAATTCTTTATTTTTAAATGTTCATTACCATCATGATTTTCATTTTCCACATCATTGTCATTTTTATTTTTTTCTTTTTCAACATGTTTAAGCATCCAAATATATTCAAGAATTGGAGATTCATCATCAACTTTACGCCATATTTGAACAGTAGTTAAACCAATAATTAATTGTAATGATTGATTTTCATCAATAAAAGCAGATGTTTTTTCATAATTTTTTCTATCAACCCATTGTTCCTTATTATTTACTATTGGTATAATTTGATCAATATCAACCAATTTTTCCTTATTATCTATTAACAGTGAAATTTTTGAATTGCTAACATCATCATGTTTTTTGAAAGGGTCAAATATTTTATGTTTATCAGCATCATTGTCTGCACAACGATACCAATGATTTGAATAGTTGGAATTTGCATTGAATTCTTTAAATATAGTAAATGATTTTTCTTTTATTCCATCATTGTCATCATCATTTTCAAATACTTTGAATTCAAAGAATTCAATATGTTCAAGAACATTTAAAACTTTGCCATCTTCTTTAACAAAAAAAATCATCCCATTTGATCTTGCAATATTCAAACAATCAATTTTTTTTGGAATGATATTGTTGTTAATTTTATATTTAATATTAAAATCTTCAGGAGAAGAATTAAAAATATCCCAAATTTTTATAGAGATTTTAAAATTAGTGTCATTTCGTGTAACAATGAATAATCTTTCATCATCATGTATAAATTCTAGAAATAAAACTTCATCTTTGTTATCCAAACTTTTTAAAGCAATAAAAAGACCTGATTCCATAGAATAAATTCTAATATCATTATTTCCACGTGTAAATGCTAGTAAAAGATTATTCAATGAAATTGCATAAGTAGGAATGCCATATTTTCGAGTTTTTAATTCTTCACGAGTAAAAAAACTTTGTTCTGCTTCCATTGTTAACATTGAATATAATTCCATTGTTTGGATTCTGTTTTTATATTGATTAAATAGAAAATAGTTTTTATAAATACATGAAACAAGTCTTTCCAAACAAGGTATTTGTTTAAACCAAATTTCAATATCTTTTTTGAGTTTTTGTGGAAAAAGATATCTTTTTAATTTTAAACTTGAATAAATATTTGGTTTATCTAAATTATCAAGAGATTTATAAAATCCTTTTACATTAGTTATTAAAAAACTTGTTTTGTTTTTTTCAACTTCTGGTAAAAACCTCACTATTCCACCAATATTACTAGTTAAACAAATTCCATTTTCATCTATCTTAATCTCATAATTGTTATTGTTGCTTTTATCATCATCTTTATAAATATCACTTATATCTATATAAAATATTACAGTACTATAAGGTTGTGTATGCAAGGGATAAAGTTCTTTCATATTTTGATATTTTAATTTGAGTTTTTTGTATTCCTCAAGTTTATCAAGTAAGTGTTTATTTGGTCTATCATGATCAATCATATCATTTGGTACTACTCTTGAAATTGCCACTAAAATTGTTGGTTTCTTATTAAAAGAAATCCTATTTGATATAGAAAATGACCAAATTAAAAGTTTTCTATTGTCCTCTTTTATTTGTTCTTCCTGTTTGCTATTATCCTCTTTTGTTTGTTCTTCTCGTTTTCTATAGCTCAATTTTGATTTTTCTTTTTGTTTTTTATTATCCTTTTCTATTTTTTCTTCTTGTTCTCCATTACCCTCTTTTGTTTGATCTTCTAGTTTTCTATAACCCCTTTTTGTTTTTTCTTTTTGTTTTTTATTATCCTCTTTTTGTGGACCTTTTACATCTGAAGGTTTTACATATGGATCAAGTTCATCTAAAAACGTTAATTTTTTAACAATATCACAAATCTTTACTTTGTCATGTCCTATATCACTGTCACTGACATTATTTAACAATTCAAAATTTTCGTGACGTGTAATTTTTAGTCTTAAACTTTCATCCTTACTACAATCAAGTCTAGCTATATATTCTCCATCATTGCTAATTGTAATATAATATTCTTTTTTTTTACCACTACCACCGCTGTCATTATCTTTAATTTCTAGATTATCAGGATTATCAGCCATTATTATCAAAAAATTATTGATTTTTAATGATATTAAAAAATTTATGAAAGACGATTGTTTTTATATCAATCAAATATATTGTTGCGCAGGCCTCCATTATAGTCGAATTCAATGAAAACGCTTTTTTTTTTGGATTGATTGTATAATCATTATAATCATTACAAATTTAGAAACTATTGTTACCAGAATTAGGATTTAACGCTAATTTGTTAGTCGAAATACCCTAATTCCGAACCAAATCTTTTATTTCTATTTTTATTTTATTTACTTTATTTTTTTATATCTACATTTATTTATTCCTTATACTTTATTTTCTTATTTTATTTTTATTCATATTTTATTATTTTATTGTATTACATTTTTATTTTTATTCGTATAACGTCGAAATTAGTTAGCTTTATTTAGAAATTAGCATCGCGGTTAGAATGTTACGTCGCAATTAAAGTGCGGTATCGCGGCTAGAATGTTAGATTGCAATGAAGTTGTTACTAATTAATTTAATTGTATAAAAGAAGCTCAAATTCGACTTTCTTGTAAAATAACTTTGTCTTAAAAGTTTCATAATAAAGATTAACTTGGTAATAAGTTAATAAATTAGTTTCGACTAAGGAAAACTTTGTTTAATAACTTTGTGATAAGTTAATTAGTTTCGACTAAGGAAAACTTTGTTAATTAGTTTTGACTAAATAAAATTAAATAAATAAAATAGAAATATTTTATTTAAAACTTTTATCTTTAAACAAAATTATTTGCTAATACCAAAATCAATTTGTTGATCCCTATTCATTCTGATCCACGCAAAAACAAAAATAATTGTTATCACCAATTAAAATATGCTCTCCCAAATTTAATCAGTGACAATGGCAATATAAAAAATATTCCCAAACTTAAGTCACGAGCATTTGTTGATTTTGAAGTAGCAGAAAGTGTGAAAAATTTTATACTAAACTATGCTGATTTACATGGATTGCCAT